AATGCATGTTATTTGCGTAAACAATACGATACGGAGTTACTATAACATTTATCTTCTAGTTTTTAAGAAGCAACATCAAAATTTGAATTTGGTCTGTCTTCTAAGAATTTCTAACTTTTTTTTTTCAAATTCCTGGAAGAAACCTTTTAACACGGTCCATTTGGTGGACATTATGGGATGAAAAAGGATAGGAATAGGACAAGGGAGCTTGAATAGGACAAGGGAGCGTGATTAGAGCAGGATAGGATATGAACTAGATAATTGTAATCTTTTGTTTAATACGCAATGGAAAACAAAACCAGATGAAAAAGGATAAGAATAGTATCATTCTATGTTGTGTTTGATTCTCTCCGTCTGACCAAAATGACATAATCTAAATCATATTTAAATGACAACTTACCCTTTTGACAGAATTGTATATAATTTTTTGAAATAAACTTTAATGTATTTTTTGAATTCTTGTATACTATTTCAAATTATAAAAATATCTAATTAACAAATTATAATAGTTTAGTTAATTAATTATCTCTATAAATATATAATTTTGACATGTACTGAATTTTAAATCCAATTTCTTTAAGACTGTGTTGAATTAAATTATAATTTTAAATTATAAAAATTATATTAGTATAAAAATAATTTTGACTGAGTAGTAACACATGATGTAAGTAATTTAAATCTTCTGCAAATCATTCACACTTTAGATAACGAAGGGAGAAATTTCATAACAGAAAATATTTCTTATCTTATTTTTCTCTAAAAATAGAAATTTAGGGAATTGCACTCCATTTGTCTTCAATATTTGGTAATGCTTGTTAAAACTTGGTCCTTTTCTCAGCTTGGAAATCATGGGTCCAATCTGACAGAAGAGGAGCTTGAAACACATACCATATCGGCTTGGAAAGAAGGAAAATGGACAGCATTTACACAAGGTTTTATCCGTGTAAGTGTTTTATGTTGGCTTTTCGTGGCATTGATATATAGATACCTTTATTGTGTAATTCTACTTTTTATATGATGATGCTTGTTTTCATTCAGACCATTATACATTGATTGTTTTATTTATGCAGGCAGGGCCATATGATAATCTGAAAGAGATTGCTCTGAAGATCCTGCAAAATGGAATTTCAACAGTTCCTATTATTCATTCATCTTCTGAAGATGGCTCATTTCCCCAGCTGCTACATCTTGCTTCACTTTCAGGAATCCTTAAATGTAAGTTTTTTCCTGAACTTTCTTTATATGTATGTTTGTTCAGATTTGGTTGATTCTTACCAAATTGGTTTCTCAGGCATTTGCAGGTATTTTAGGAATTGTTCTAGTTCATTGCCCATACTTCAACTTCCAATCTGTGCAATCCCTGTGGGTACGTGGGTGCCCAAAATTGGGGAGCCAAATTGCCAGCCTCTAGCAATGTTGAGACCAAATGCTTCACTTACTTCAGCCCTAAACTTATTAGTTCAAGGTGTGATTTCTTTGTCTAACTTCGAACATATTGTACAAAAGAAACTGGTATCCTATTACATTTTTGAGGCATTGAGTTGATGGTAGAGGGTACTCTCTCCATTTTGAGAAGAAGGGTTGTTTTCGTGTGTAATTAAACAATAAATACAAGATGAATGTTTAGAATAAATAAAAAGTAAGGATGATCCATCTTCTGATTTAAAGAAATGACTTTTTATAGAGGTGTTTGCTTATGCTAATGTAACATCTTGCTCTTTTTTTTGTAGCGCAAGTAAGTTCAATTCCAATAGTTGATGACAGTGACTCATTACTGGATATATATTGTCGAAGGTTAGTTATTTTTATACTTGTCAGTACACTCACTGATGCCTTGTTCGAGATACTTGGAATCAATCTATGGTCCAATCATTAAATTGTCCTACCACCAGTTCGATGTTTAGAGGCACTTGTCCAGTTTTCACTTTTCCTCCCCTCCTTGTTTTTACAGTGATATAACAGCTTTGGCAAAGGACAGAACTTATACACATATTAATCTTGATGAAATGACGGTTCATCAGGTAAGCTTTTTTCCTTAATACTTCTGTTGACAATTCATGAAAATAAAAAAAAAATAGAAATATGAAAAGTTCATCTTTTCTGGTTAGGTAGTTTTGCCAATTTATGACACTAATTGCATGAGGGTGATGTTAGAATTTCGTTAAATCAGAGATTTTCCTCCCTAAATTTAGGCAGCACTACAAAGAGTATCTAGAACTAAGATACTTTAATTGTGTTTTTCCCTCCTTTTGAAGTTGTGTATATAGAGCTTGATGTGATGCTAATTGGTAATGTAAAGTCTGACATGGAACTATGTTGCTTTTATTCAAAATGGTAGTATAGTAGTGCTGTTGATGCAGAGGTTAGATATCCTTCTGTCTGGTGTTGAAAGTTAATATGCATCAATGAATTAATGTGTACATAATGTAAATAGGCATTCACTTTACCAATAAAGAGGTACTTTCCCCGATGTTTATTTTTCTACTAAGTCTTGTGTGAACTCCAAAAGTGAACTTATCCTTTAAATGTTGGTAATATATCCCATTTGTTGGAACCTGTCATGAAGAATTAGGCAGATTAATTACAGACACCGGCAATAATAATCCAGGTCAAATTGTACTAGTCTGCTTGTAGCATTTTGGTGGTCAAAATGAGCTGATATAACGGGCTTCCTAAAAATTTGTGATATATGGATAAGAAGAAAAATGATGAAGGGGCTTGTTTTTTAGGACTTCTCTATAAACACTTATAAAGAAGAAAATAAGAAATTAAAATAAATTGGAGCTTCTCCCATGAGCTAAAGCCAACTTAGCTCAATTTTGGGAGAAGTTGGATGATATAACTTGTGTTTGAGTGTGCAGTTCAATTCAATGAAATCTTTCATTTATTTCCAATTTCTAATTTTCAATACTCGGTTCCTCATTGTGCTGATGTAAACCCACCTTCACCATTTGCCCACACCTAGTGGAGAATATTTTTAGCACTCAAGAAAAATGCTGATTTTTATAGAGATAATCAATATTGCCCTTAATGGCTGATTTGAATTAGGTGAGCTATAGTACCGTGAAATAGGATTGCCGCTGTATTTATTTTAAATGGGAAAAATGGACTCTTCTATCTAATTTGTAATGAAACCTCTTAATTCGTTGCTAATGCCAGTTATAAGGATTTTGCTATTTATTTGCATGTCTATCTCCTGAAAGTCACTCGGTTTCTTCCCCTTGTTTGGATTCTTTTACACGGCCACATTTTAGGGAGGAAAAATTGAAGTTGTTTACCTTTTGTTCCAGTATTTCCTTTTATAATTTTGGTCGATGTTAATTGTTAAATCAGTTGAAGAATAAGGGAGAAAGCTTGCATCTTTAACTGTTTATCAAGATAGTACCTAAGTTGGTCTATTTTTCCAGGCATTGCAACTAGGGCAAGATTTTTACAGTTCTTTCGAACCAAGAAGTCAAAGATGTCAGATGTGTTTGCGAACTGATTCTCTGCATAAAGTGATGGAACGTTTGTCACAACCAGGCACGTTTCTTTGGCCTTTATCAGATGAAAGGAGCTTTTTGTTTTGATTTTTAGTTTAACTAGACTTCAATGCAGGTGTGAGGCGGCTAGTCATTGTGGAAGCTGGCAGCAAGCGGGTAGAAGGCATCATATCACTGAGTGACATATTCAAGTTCTTCCTTGGTTAGTTTGGATTGTTGGTGACCAAACAAGTTTGACAGATAGTGTGGTGGTGGTCATGACACTTATGCATATAGTCAGGCAACCATCATCGGCCCAGCCACAGCCACAGCCACTAAGAAGAGATTCCAGAGCTTTTACACGGTGATTTCATCTTTATTTCATTGAAATACAATTGGTTTGGCCTCTTGCTTCATTGCCTTGTTTTAAGATTTTAGGCTAGAGAAAGAGGCCTGTAAATTTTAGCCTGATTGCCCCAAATTTATTCATCTTTCCCCACTCATATTATGTTCAAATATGTTGTCCTCCTCATATGGATACAGGCAAAGGGGAGTGCACAATGTGTGTAATCGTTTCATATATTGTGAAGTCACAAATTTCGGGGGAAAAATTATGGGAGGACCAATATTCGAAATACTATTTTTTGTTGGCTAGCTTTAGTTCGAGGAATAGCATTTGTTAACTATCCTTTTTGTGGAGTGGTGATAGGCAAATTTTCCTCATCCCCCAACCCCGTGGACATAAGCGAAAGTGATTTTTTCTTTTTTCAATGGACGAAAATGGAAGGGAGTTGGTGGTAATGGATGAAAAATGAAAGAAAACAATACATCAATATCTTTGTTGGGACTAAATTTAAAAAATGAAATTTATTCGGTGGCTATTCTCGATAATCAGAACCCGAACAGAAAAATATTTCCAAAGTAAAAAGCAAGTCACAGTACATGATGCACACCGTAAACAATGAATGGAGTTTGGGCGACCATAAAGGCTGCCAAAAAAATTATGGAATATAAAACCTTAGTCTTTTATCAATCCATTAGAGTAAAATACAAAAAACTAATCAATATATCCTTAACAGGATAGTATGGAATATAAAACTTTTTAGTTTTTTATTAATCCATTAGAGTAAAATACAAAACTAATCAAAATAGCCTTAACAGGATAGGTTCGATATTGCAGAATACAGTTTTGCTCGGTTTAATACAATTATGGGTGAGTTGGTAACACATGTTGAACTTGTATAGGGAAAGACTTGAATTCGATTTGAACTAAATTTCATTTCAAAGGAAATCCCGAATAATATCGAAACTCACAGAAGAGCGAAGGTAATGCGTATGTTGTCAAAACTTGAATGTTAAACGGAAAGTCAAATAATCAGTCGCAATTACAAAAAGTCGGACAAGACAAAATGTTAAAAATGACGCCTACCCATACCGAGATAGATTTACTGTAACTGCACCTACAACGTTCCAAACCATATTATGCAGTAACGTTTGAACTGTTATCAATGTGGATTCTAGATGTTAAAAGCATCAAGATAGTGAAAAAAAAAAAGAATATTAAGATTACAATTACAGTGTAGGAATATACACTAAGTTGTTCACATTTTGGCAATAGCATGCACACAGCTCTTCGCGTTTACATGATTGACATACACAATACTGGTTCTGAATAATACATGCTACATGCTACTCCCTCACTATAATTTGATCTTCAAAAATATGTACATCTGAAAAGAGAATAAGATGATTAATCTTCTCTTTTCTTCCGGCTACAATAGTATTAACAGTACATAAATAGTTTCCCTGCTTCAAATGTTAAAACGAAATATCAGGGTCTCAGTGTAGGTATGTATGTCACACGAGCCTCCATAGAGATCACGTCAGCAAGAGTTAAACCATATTGCACATTTACAAACAACAAAGGAACGCGTCCGAGCTATGTAGGTATGAGTGCCAATATCTGATTTCTTATAATGCCCATGCATTTCTGTATCTCACCATATATTGGAAGATTCTTTGAACATAATGGCTGCAAACTGGTGACAGCAGAATCTAGTACCTGAGCGACATCGGCTGGGGGAAATTGTCGTTCAGTACACTTCTGCATTTTGTTTTTTCAAAAATAGGTTAGGGTGTACAGGTAAAAGGTCTTCAATTGGACAACTGATTTAATCACGTGTTTTGAATATTTCATTAACATGTAGTACCAATTCTATTACTCTACACTTTATCTTTTGTATCATGAGCATTTACATAAAGCAACCTTAGAGAATGGTGTCCCTATTTAATTGCGTTATGAATACGAGACCCTGATTATGTGTATTATTGTCTTTTTATTGAATAGAAAACAATTTGTGAACAGACGTAGTTGGTAAAAAGTTTTTAGTGTTAGAATCTTAAAGATATAGTAACGCTGTTGATACTAAGATAAATTAGATTGATTCTATTTTCATATTAATAGCCTACAATAGGATACATGAATATTTAGTATTTATGTTTTCTTCCCTATAAAAAGAATGGCTCCATTGCGGTCTAAACACAATTCATTATATCCCTTATGAATTTCTCTCCTCTAAACACGGTATCAGCATATTCTAATGGAATTTACTGAACTTATTGTGCCACCTGTTGTGTAACTACCTATCCACAATGTAAGAGAGTATATTAAAGATTTCACATCTCAGAGATATGTAGAGAATAAAGTCTCAGTAACGTTTGGTAGGCTTATTGTACTACTCACTGTTAGATCACTTTCAAATGTCTAATTTAACGTAGATGTCCAATATTTTGCATGAAGTAATGTGTAGTTTCATCGTCGTTTAAACATATAACTAAAAAATATATATATAAATGAGAATAAACCTTATATAAATGAGAGCAAACCTAATCTTACATGTAAATTTTGTTAGATTAAATTAAATTAAAGTCTACTTTTTAATATGGTATTTTAGAACTAATGGGAAGGAAAACCTAACTCATTGTAAAGTTCTCAGAAATCATGTATATTTTCTGTTTTTTGTTCTTTTTCTGTTATGTTCCATCATTCACTGTTGGTAACTTTCTGATGAGTTTTTTTTTGTCTATTGTTTGTTTGCTCCTCTTTTAATCTTTTATTTTAGTTTTGTGTTCTTATCTTGTTACTATGGTAACCAACAAAAAGAAACTTGGTGGATATGACCTATATGCTTCAACTTATTTGCTTATTAAAAAAAAAAAACTTGAGGGAAACTGTTAATCTCGTAAATAAGTTAGAATCCTATAGACATAGTAACTGTTGATAATATGATGAATTAAATTGATTCTATATTTATATTATCAGTCTAAAATAGGGTAATTGACTATTGTTTTCTCCCCTATAAATTGAATAGCTCCGATATGGTCTAAACACACTGAATTTTAAATTGAAGAGAAGTTGAAGTTCAAAAAAAAATACTAGATATTAAAGAAACTCAAATGTTGTAATATAAATGATAACTTCTACCTATTTCTTTGTTTCCTGAGACTTAGATAACAAGTGGAATTAAATTCAATTTAGCATTTAAAAGTGCACCACAAATATAGGTATCACCTTTAATGTTCTAGACCTGCTATAACCAAGTTTCATGCCTTTCCTGATTTCCTAAACTGTTGCATGCTATACAGAATGAATGTAAATATGACACTTATACAATCAATACACCATTTATGTTTTTTAACCTAATAGCTTAAGTTTTTAGGTTAATTGGTCCATGACATAGTATGGAAGCTCTATGACCAAGTGGTCTAGACTTTGATACTGCTCCAATTCTAAATAATGGTTTTTCAACACAACTTGGGTGTGTTTGCCTTATTTGCAACTGCACCCATAGGCCTCTTGTGCTAGAGGAGGTTAGATAAACCATTATCGCATCTTTACCAAACAACTTAAGCTTTTATAATAATTAGTTCGTGACAACATATTTGTAGAGAGATCTGAGAAGTAAATATGGCATTGCCAGAATGCCGCTATTTCCACCTTGGTGTTTATTCTGCCACTATGTATTCAGCCTAGGTTTATATTCTTTAAACCAAGATGGTACAGGAAAATAATTTTACAAAAAAGTGAGTAAATATTAGTCATCCTAAATAATTGAAGGCAACAAATTAAGTTGATAGTGTTGATACTTTGATAGAAACAGTTATCTACAATAACAGCCATATCAAGTCAAATGGCTGTCTTATGGAGAAGTCTGCCTTAAAATAAATTGTTCATCTCCCATAATAAAATAAATACACAGCACCATGTAAAATACCATGATACTATTTAAAATATATTTTTTTTAAATGAAAAAAGCACCATAGAAATTGTCCATAAAATAGTTAGTGTTTGGCATAAGGTCAGGTTTTGTTGAACTACCACAAGTTCAAATGACTAAGCAAAAGAAAATAGTGAGGGGAGATTGACCATGAAAATCATTCAAGTAAAAATCAAATTCAGTGGAATGTGATTTACCTGAATCATGAACAACGTAGCTAGGCAATGAGATATAAGTTCTGAGGGAATTTTCATTTCATTTTGGTCAGATGAACCGTTGAGTTCAGCATCTTGTACATGACAACTTGTCAAGGGATTTAATACGCTGGCAGCCAATTGATCATGAGAAGCCAGAGAAAGAGAATCTGCATGCGGAAAAGTTGTGGCTGAAGCAGTAGGTTCGTCCACAGAAAGCTGGTTATTGATGAAATTTATTGCATCCTCAATTCTTTCTGTCGTTCTTAAATTTGACATTGCCTGCAATGGTTTTTATGAAAATTTGTAAGTACATCACTAGAATATAGTCAGCAAGAAAACTGAAAATGATATCCTGTGAAAATGTCATGTTATTAGTTTATTTATTTATAAGGTGTATCAAGGAAGACGTCAACAAAGTATCTTATCATAAAACTGAAGCTTAAATAGATCAGTCAGCAGGAACATTTTCTTGAATGTTTTTTCAGAAACTTTACTGCATATTGCCTAAAGGGAGATGTCATGACCTTTTTTATAGATAGTGGCACAGCTGTGACTGTACTGTGCAGTGTATGCAATTCATGTTAATATAAAAATGAGAAAACTGGAAGATCAAACTGTTTGGCATGAACATTAAATAGCACTCCATATATAACTTTGTTGAGTGCTGTGTTCTTTTAGTTTGTAACAATTTAATCCGAATGTTGCATTTACTAATTTAATTAGATGCAATTAGCTGCCTTTCTATACCTGAGAAGCTTGAACAATCATTGTCCGTGCTTTTCTTCTAGAACTTTCAACAATTTCAGCAATATGACTCTGAGATATTGATTCTTGGTTGTGGCAAGCTGAACAATTGGAAGAGCTCGCCTGACCACTAGGATCATCAAAATTAGCCATGGGCTTTAATGAAAAAACGGAGGAGCTTGCTTGATATGTGTTGCGTTGCCTCAAGCAAAACAAGGCAGAGGAAACCTGCAAAAGTGCAATACATTCAGACAATTGTAAATTACTGGAATGAGAAGTTGTAAGGATGAAAAACAATTGAAGATTTGTGCCTGTTCATTTGCTTCAGTTAATTGCTTTAGTACAGAAGCGTAATTCCTCTTAAAAAGTTCTGAATCCTTTACTGAGTTGTCTCCATATTTCTGGCTCTCTGATATCCCATCATTCATGTGCTTCAGTTCAGATAATATACGTTCCTAAAAGTTCAAAATCAACAGATCAAAACTCATTTTAGAAAGGAATATTTGAAAGAAAGATATTTTCTTTTATCATAACAGGACAATGGTAAAGGCAGATGAATTGGGAAACACCTTTTTGTCTAGAGCACGATTCAAATCTGAAATAGCCAATGTGTCAGCTTCTTTTGAATGTACATGTTCAAGAAGGGAAGGTTGAGAACTTGATGGTAGTTGCACATTACCAATCTCGCTGCACACAACTTTTGGTTGTGGTTTGGAGCTTGAAGAAAATACCTATGAATTAAATGGAAAAAATATAAGATTAGAAAACTGCATAGGGATTAGTGAATATAGTGAAAACTAGGTATTAGATTAATCTCCTCTGTGTAGAAAAAAGACTTTGGGCACTGTGTTTATAATAAAAAGAATATGGACTAATCCCAAAATACAAATAATAATAGGCAAAGATAATAACATAAAAACAGAAGATAAAAGATAAAAGACAAGATATATAACCCTCTTCTACAAACTAGTGCATATAAATCACATGTACCAAATTTGTTATACATATAATCAATTCTCGGTCCTTGTAAGGACTTAGTGAAAATATATACTAACTGATCACTTGAGTTAACGAACTCAATCTTAATGTCTCTAGATACAATCTTCTCTCAATTGAAATGACGGTCAATCGCAATGTATTTGGTTATCTCATGAAAGATAGGATTAGAACTAATACGAAAAGTAGTCTTATAATCACATATAAGTGTTATTTGAGTGACATATCCAAATTATAACTCTCTAAGCAGTTACTTAAGCCAAATAAATTCACAAGTAGCTGAATCCATAACTCTATATTATGCTTTTACACTAGATCTTGTCACAACACTTTGTTTCTTACTCTTCCAAGTGATCAAGTTATTACCACCAATTAAGACACAATATCTTGAAATAGGTCTTCTATTAGAAAGAGATCCTACCCAATCAACATTTGAATAACAAATAACTCCTGGATAAAGGATTCTCTATTAGTTCTCCGTAATTCAATAAAAACATTAGAAAACTATACTTTGAGTTTCCCTTTTTGGTTTTTCTCACCAGTCTCTCTGAGAACCCGGAATCTGTTTCTGGGTTCCTAACTTTAAGCAAGGAGGTAGAGACTTTGAGAGTGTCAATTCAAGATAGATACATTACAACCATGTGTTGCCATTTACAGAAACAAAACATTTCCAGAATCACTATTGCACTCAATAATGTTTCTTAGATTCCTCCAGAAAGCTTCACTTGCACCAATTCTAAATTCAGCTCAGAATACTGATACATGCACTGTGAGAATATACGCCCAAATTATGATAAAGCAATATTCCTATTCTTTTTACCACAATCGTTTACTTGTTTCACTGATTGATGCAAAAAAAAGTTGAAAGAGCTTCAAGTCCAGCAGAGTTAAGAAATCAGAACAACTGAACCAGAATATTATACAGCAAAAATTAAGTCCTCAAAATATTAGAGAATATCTTTTGAAAGATCATTGAGAACAAGAGAAGAAAATGATCCGTTGGCAAGTGTTTTTTGATAAATATCAAGCTCAAGGACAGAGCCTTGTTCATCGACAACAAGTCAGTTGCCTTCTTCAATTTGTATATTCCCTTAATTCTTGTACCATACACGATCTTTTAACAAAATTATTGTATTATTTATTTTATTTTTCTGAAATGACCCTCCTTTATACGATGATATTTCTAAATTCCTAATGGTCTAGCTCGGCCACTGATGACTGAACTAATGTGAAATTTACATCGTGAAGAAATTAAAGCAATCAAATTATCATCACAATACAGAATTAAAATCCAACTCAACAAATTTGTACCTGTTTTGATAAAGCACCAGGTCCATGCAGAGTGGGGGATATATGAAGGCTTTTACTGGTATCTGAGTTCTCGCCGGGGGACAATATTGTGTGCCCAGCAACCTTTCTCTGTTTCAGTTTTCCATTAGGCTTGAGCTCAACAAAGTTCTCGTTTATTTGGGCGGAAGAGGTATTGTGTTGTATCAGAGATGTAGGCATATTTTCAAGTGGATACAAAGGCATGCAGTCAACATCCTGAGATACAAAAATGTGTCAAATTATGCTATTGGCAAAGAAAATTGTGAAGTGATCATACTACTTGGGACATGAATGGGGTTACAAGATGAAAAGTGAGGTGAGAAGAGCAATGCGGATATTCAAAAACTAAATACAACATGAACTCTACTGATTCGCTAGTAGAGTAACAATTCCTTCTAAGGTTATTAAAATCAGGATCCTACTCAAATTTTCAGGGATACCAACACAAGATAATAGGATTTCATTGAGGATTGCAAGATCCTAAGAGCCATGACAAATAAAAAGATAAAACTTGAAAAGTTTAGGTATATGAGAAAAAAAAATCTAGTTTAATTGATTTTCGCCAGTACACACACGTGTGTGTGTGTAAGATATCTAATAATTTAATATATTTAACACTTCTCCTGAAGCAAGTGTATACAAATAGTATATATCAAGTTTGTTACAAATATAATCGTATATTTGCTAATTGATCACTTTAGTTAACGAACTCAATTTTGATGTACCCAGATACAATATTCTCTCGAATGAAATGACAATCATTCTCAATGTGTTTAGTACTCTCATGAAAGACAAGATTATTATTTCTCACATATAAGTGTCATTTAAGTGATATCTCAAAATTGTAATTTTCTAAGAAATTGTTTAAACCAAACAAGCTCACTAGTGACTGAGGTCATAGCTTTATATTTTGCTTTTGCACTAAATTTTGTCACAAGACTTTGTTTTCTGATTTTCCAAGAGATCAAGTTCCCATTGTTAGAATATGTTTTATTAGCTGAATTATTTCTGCCTTTGTGTTTTATTGTTTCCTTATTTAGCAAATTATAATTACAATATATGATGGGGATATCCCTGAATCATAGGGATATGGTTGTCTCGAAGTTATTATTTTACTTCCTAAAATAGCTTTCTAGCCTTGTATATATAGATTGTATTGTAATAAGATACATCATTCTACCCTAAATTATAACACCCATCAATGGAGATACAATATTTGGACGTAGAGCTTCTATCAAAAGGAGATCCTATCCAATCAATATCTGAATAACAAACAACTCTTGTATGGTTATTGAAACCATATAACAACCCTTTTCCAGGAGCTCCTTTAATTTATTTTAATATACAAATGACTATATTCCAATGATCTTGACATGGAGAATTAAGAAATTGGTTTACCATACTGATTCAAAGGAAATGTCAGGATGAGTAAATGCAAATAATTTAATTTTTCAACTAGTCTTCTATACTGCTCGAGATCTAACATAAGTTCTCCCTGATTTGATAGATGTTTAGTATTAGGATTTTTTAAGAAGTGGACTTTAAGCCTAACTCAATCCTACAAAACCATAAATTGACATTATCTCTAGTTAATGTGGGACTTCCAATATACACTCCTCACGTCGAGTTATATACATCTCGATCGTGGGACTTAACATTAATGGATGATCTGATAGCAGCCCGATAGTGTGCCTGACAAACAACAAATTTCGTTAGGATAGGCTCTAACAATGGCTTTGATACCATGTTAAGAAGTAGACTTTAAGAGTAACTCAACCCTATAAAATTGGCTTATAAGATGAGGTTTGTACACACTTAAATACTGTAAATTTGCCTTATTTCTAATCGATGTGTGGCTTCCAACGGGATCTAGGGGTTTATCAATCATTTTTGAATTCATCAACCTAGTTTCTTCAATAATATTCAATGCATACTTCCTTTGAGATATAACAATACCATTGTTGGATTGTGCCACCTCAATACCTAAGAAATAACTGAGTTTGCAAAGATCTTTGGTTTGAAAATGGTGACAAAGATGTTTTATCCGAGAGATGTCATAGTGGTCACTACATGTAAGAATGATGTTATCAACATATACTATCAAGTAGACAAATTCAATACTCGAGTGGCGATAAAAGATTGAATGATCTGTCTAACACCGAGTCATAACAAATTTTTGAAGGTTTCTAAATTTTCCAAAGAAGGCCCAAGGAAACTGTTTTTGTGTCATATAAGGATTTGCAAAGACGACATAGCAACCCATAAAACTCCCCTTGAGCAACAAATCCCGAAAGTTGCTCCATATAAATTTCTTCTTGCAAATCTCCATTACACAATGCATTTTTGACATCTAGGTGGTAAATAGGTCATTGTTGAAGAGCAATCATGGCTATAAACAAACAAACAGAAGCCATCTTTACCACTAGAGAAAAGGTATCACCATAATCCAACCCAAAAAATTTGTGTTCAACCTTTGGTCATAAGACGGGCTTTGAGGCGATCAATAGTATCATTAGGACAAACTGAGATAGCAAAAACCCACCTGGAACTAATTATAGATTTCCTGGATAGTAATGAGACAAGCTCCCAAGTTCCACTATTCTGAAAAACACTTAGTTCATCTAGCATGACCTGACGTCAACCAAGATGGGCTAAGGCATCACTGACAGATTTTGGAATGGTCACAGAAGAAATAGACGAAAGACAAATATAAATAGGTGAAGATAATCTATAATAACTCAAAACAATATAATTTGGAGAGGGATTACGAGTAGAACAGATACCTTTTCGGAGGACAACTAGAAGATCAGACTCATTTGTCAAAGCCAAGAGAAGACAAAGTAGTTGGCACTTGGATTGAGTCACCTAGTGGTTGTTGAGAACGATATTTGTAACTATAAACCTGAAGTGGTGGTGGAAGAGAATATGATGGTGGTGGTGGACAAGGCACAACTGGAGGACCACAAATAAAAGGAATATTGACTGTATTAGATGAAGTCATATCAAAAGAAGAATGACCTTTAAAATAAAAAGAAGATTCATTGAAGATGACATTAGTAGAAACAAAATAGTGGTGAAGAGAAAGAGAAAAACATTTGTATCCTTTTTGTGATCAAGTAAATCCTAAAAACACAAATTTGTATGATCGAGGATATAACTTATCAAGACCAAGACAAATTATGAACAAAACATGTAGACCCAAAAACTTTTAGAGGTAAGGGATGAAGAGGTTCATGAGAAAATAAAATAAAATGAGGTATTTTATCATCTAAAACTGAATAGGGCATGCGATTAATGAGAAAACATGAAGTAAGAATAGCATCATCCTAAAAATATTGAGGAACCTTATCATGAATTAAAAGAGTGGGAGTTATTGCAATAAGATATCTATTTTTGCGCTCAACCACCTCCATGTTGCTGAGGTGTATAAGCACATGAAGTTTGATAGAGAATGCCATGAGAAACCATAAATTGTTTAAGAGAATGGGAAAGATATTTGCAACCATTATCATTTCGCAAAGTTTGAATAGAGACACCAAACCAAGTTTTAATTTCATTAAAAAAAGATTGCAATATATGAAATAATTCAAAACAATTTTTTATTGAAAACAACTAAGTACATCTGGAATAATCATGAATAAAAGTAACAAATTATTGAAAACCTAAGTTAGACTTAAGACGACTAGGCCCCCAAATGTCAGATTGAAGTAAGGAAAAAATAGACGAAGCACGTTGGGAGACTCATAAGGAACTACAACTATGCTTAGCCTAATTGACACGACTCACGCCAAACTGGATAACTTGGATAAGTCGGGAACAAGCTACAACAATTTGGCAAGACTGAGATAACCAAACTGAGCAGAAAGAAGAGATGAAGACTCTATAACTACGCCAACATGTGTAGACGGGTAGAGATGATAAAGACCATGAGACTCACATCCGATCAAATCACCTATCTTGAACTTCAGTCCTGTAAACAAACAAAATGTTTAACACAATCAAGAGAACATGTTAGACTACTAATGGATAATAAGTTAAAAAGAGATCCAAGGACATAAAGAACATTATCAATTGATAAAAAAGGAAAAAGGGTAACAGTCTCAATACCATGAGCTAAAACCCTAGATGCATAAGTCATTGAACAGAAGGTAAATTATCTGGAGAGAATAAAGATGAAAACAAAGATTTGTCACCAATAATGTGATATGTGGCTCCTGAGTCGAGAACCCAAAGACCAAAGAAGATTGAGTCAGACCAACAAAAGTGAACTAGAAAGTTGTTGATCCTCGTATCATTTGAAAAAGTTATTGATAATAATAGATTTGTCGGTGATATTAGATGAAGAAGGATCCACAAGATGTGACTGTGAGGGGGGATAAATTTGAACAACAATAGCAGATTCGAGGAAGACATCCATGTAATGCATAACACCTGTCAATCTTGTGGCCTAATCAAGGCACCAATCATAGATCCTGAAAGAGGACAAAATGGTGACCTCGACACTCTAAATCGCTGTCGGAGAAGAGTTGGGACATGTCGTCACGTGACGGAGAAAGGGCGCAAATCTGGAACTTCGAGGGGCATATGAGGGCGCGTGGGAGCCCCGATGAAGGCATCGTTGATGGCACAGTGGTCACCTAGCAAAGACGATCAAAATTGTATGGTTGTCAGTGGAAATTGGAGCCCGACGATGTTGACGGGAGGAGATTGCAACAACTCCAACAGTTTTCGTGGTGAAGGTGACGGAATTTTTTCCAAAAGAACCTTTGGTTCTAGATGTCATAAAGAATATTGTAAAAACTATATGGGATTAATCTCCCTTATATAGTAAATACACATAAGGTACTACATTCATAATAAGGAAAATATGGATTAAGTCCAAAATACAAATAAAGATTAATAACAAAGTAACTGAAGATAAAAGATAAAGATCATTAATAACTACTAGTGACTCAACATAATATTTCTTAATAAGCCAAGACTCCTCCCTCAAGTTGATGAATGAATATATGTCATTCTCAGCCTGCATGTAAGATCATGAAATTGTTCTATGGGAAGACCTTTTTTAAACAAATGTAAGTCAGGATGTGATGTAGGAAGCACTGATAAGGTCATTATCTAGATTTTGTTAATGAAGTGTTTGGTTCTATCATGTTGAACTCAATTGTGAACAATGTTAACAGGTGATTTATCATCAAACTAGAGAATCATAGGTTCTTCACATTTCACTTTAAGATCATTTTCAATCATAACAGTTCACACACCCCTCGCATCATAGCTCAGAATTTAGTCATTGCATTAGACCTTGTAAATACATTTTGTTTTTTACTTCTCCAAGTCATCAAGTTTCCATCCAAGAACATGCAATATCTTGAATTGGACTCTTATTAGTAACAAACCCTACACAATATGCTTCAGTATACACCTCCATATTTCACTTTGCATTATTCTTAAACAATAAACCCATATCAAGCTTGTCTTCAAATATTGAAGGATTTTGTTTATAGCTGACCACACTCATAACATATGCTGTGTAGGTCTAGAGTGGGCTAAGTAAATGAGCTTCACCTCAAGTCTACCGTATTAACCCTTATTCACCGTGAAACTACTTTCATCACTCCCAAAACTGTGGTTTTGTTCCATAAGAACTGTAATAGCTTAGATCATCTGATAGAACATGTGGCTTATTAGCATCGTCTATTTGGTTAGATTGTCTAGTGGTTGTTATCTTGTCAGCTGATGTATGAATGATTATACCTTTTGTTAAACTATTTTGTACAATAAGACAAAAGTTCTCGTGCTTCTAACTAATTTGTAATTGCCTGATATAAGAACTTCTACCTCCTCGTTATTGCATAACATAATAAGACAAAACGTTAATTCACAGTTCTGTTTGTTTGTTCTGAACAGGTGTGATTCCCAACCAAAGTTGCACCCTTTTTTCTCATTGCTTTTGGGCTTTTGTGGCATGTGGTGCACAACAAACACTTTACATTATAAATCTACTTGCATCCCACAACCTTTTCATCTTGTGCCTTGTCAACAATCTCCAATTATTGAAATTAAGGGATTGGGATTAAGAGTTTATTGGGTAGATTTGCTCCAGATTTAGAGTCTTTATGTCCAGAGATTTATTTCCTTTAAATACCAATGTATTGTCAAGAAAAGTAATTCCATAATTATTGCTGACTACCTACACATTTGTTTACTCATCTCTAGATTTTTTCTAAGACACTCATTTTTCATTCATGACTTTAACTTAGTTCTCATCCTTCAGCACTTCTTCAGATGGTGTAGGGACTTGAACTGCATTGAAAGCAGAGAAAAAACTCAGGCGTTAAATAGAAAGGCATTCAATGGACACAAATTGAGAAAAGGGATACATAGTACAAGACCATGTTCCTTTTCTTAGAGCAATAAGAAAATCATAAGTGTTAGGTTCCCAACTATCATCCAAGGAATTTTCCGAAAAGCCATCAAATATGACTTCCTAGGATATTCTTGCCTCCAAAAGGGATATTGGTAGGATATGTTATGTGTATGATAGGAGGAAACATATTAAAAAGTATTTGTTAGTTGGGTTGTTAGGTTGAGTCAGACTTTCTATATAGAGTGGGGTCTTTGTATGCAAGGGGATAGTTTTTAATGTTTGAGAATTGTTGATAGGATCATTGGCATCCTGTGGGAAGGGGAACATTGTCCCTTGGAAGCATTCATGCAATACTTGTTGCTTAGAATCAATAATACGAGATCTATTCAGTGAGTTTAGGAGTTTGCAGTTGTTTTCTTGGTTTCCTCTATCTAGAAACCTAACAGACATACTTAAATATATGGTTTGGATTACAATGATAGATATATAATTAGGATTACGTTAGAATAATTACTGTTACATATCATCATTAAGGCTAGTCTGCTAGACCAGTAATGAGTAGTACCTAGTTCTGTATCTAGAGGTCTAGTGCAGACTCTTGGTGTTCCATGTACTCTCGCTTTTTCAATATATATAGAAGATAATGAAAGGGATTTGTTAAGCCCTCAATAATATATTTTTATCAGTTTTTAGTCTCAAGTTGGTATCAGAGCAGGTTCATCCTGCTCTGGTTTCTGTCCTGGGTTGTCTACCAGCATTGTCATTGTCGTTTGCATCTGTCCGGTGCCCTTTGCCGTTGTCCACGGTTGTCTTGTCACTACCTGCAGCTGTCAATTGCAGTTTAAAGCTCTTCAACTTGGTTCTCTGCCATCTCACATCTATCTGCCGCTGTCCGCCGTCGTTCGCCGTCACTGCTCCATCTGACGACCACTGGATCTGGTTCGTCTCTTCACGCGACGACCTCTTCATCAATTAAATATTAAGAATGATGTTCTTCATGGTGATCTCGAGGAGAACACTTACATGGAGTAATCTCCTACTTTTTTTGCTCAAGGGAAGTTTGGTTTGGTTTGTAAATTGAGATCGTCTCTCCATGGTCTCAAGCAATTTCCACATGATTGGTTTGGGCAGTCTAGTCATATTATTCAAATCTTTAGGCTAAAGTAAAATGAAATTGATTATTCAATCTTTTATTGTCATACATCTCCTAGAAAATGTGTTTATCTAATTGAGTATGATGATTATATAATTATCCCAAGGAATGATGCAACCAAAAATTGATTAGTTAAAGCAATATTTGTGCAAACACTTTCAAACTAAAGATCTTTTGTGCCTTATACTTCCTAGGCACTGAAGTGACTCAATCAAAAGAAGATATTTTTATTTCTAAAAAAAATGTCAGAAATCTTGAAAGAAACATGAATGATTGATTGAAGACCTCTGGATCGTCCTATGGGTCGAAACCAAACATAATGGTAGAATAAACTGAGCCATTATCAGATCCAAAGACTTGAGGGAAAACTTATTACCTTACCGTTACTAAGTCTATCATATATTTTGTAGTTTAAATGGTTAGTTAATTTATGCAAACTCCTCGCACTAATCATTAGAATGTTGTGCTTCGCATACTTAGATACTTGAAAAGGCTCTAAGGACAAGGTTTTCTTTATGAAGTCAAAGGAAGTAACCAAATATCTGGATATTGTATTGTTGATTGGGCATGGTCTCCTACATACAAGTGTTTCACTTGATATTGTATTTTCATTGGAATGAATGTTATTTCTTGAAAAAGCAAGAAACATAATGTAATTGTTCAACCAAATGTTGAAGCTAAATATAGGGCAATGACATCACTCATTTGTGAACTTCAAGAAACATTTGTGGATAAAAAATTTCTCTAACAGAGGTTTTGTAAAATTCAAGAACTGAGGATGTATTGTCCAAGGAATTGACTGTCATCCTTTTTGAAAAGAGTTTTTGTCCAAGGAAATTTGCACCAAGTTTGTTGGCTCCAATGATCAGCTTCCAGATGTTTTGAGAAAATCCTTGAGGGGAGCTTACATTCAACTTATATTTCCAAGATTAGAAAGTACAATTTGTACGTTCTAGCTTGAAAGAGAGTGTTGAAATAGTTTACTTTATCTTCTCTCTTTTCTTAAGATTTTATTGTAAGCCATTGATCCTTATATATAATCAGCAGAGATATCTAAATTAAGGTATTTCAAGCTCTTTTCCTCGTATATATACTTTTCAAGTACAATAATAAAACAACAGTTTAGGCAGCCACTACATTTCCTTCTTCCTCCCATTATCATTTGTTAAAAGAGAAGGAAGCATACCATGACAAATTCAACCCCGAGTTCCGGTTGGTCAAACTGAACCCTATACCTACAATGATCAACAGTTAGTACACTTCCATCATGAATCTCTCTTGTCTTCGGATGAATAGCAATAACACGCTGCCCAACAATTAAAGGTTGGGCCAAATCAGTAGGAAGTCCTTCCTTGGTACCAGCAAGAATTTCAGCATAATGTGATCTAACAGATTCCCGGTATTCATGAAGTTTATGCTTCTCTTCTGTCAAAAATTGCTCTGAAAATCTTCTTGGTCTGCCAAGAGAACTGCATAAAGAGTAGCATGCATATGAAGTCATTTATCCAATACCAACTCAACCCAAAATCACAAGAATTATAAGAATGTTGGGTGCAAAGATTAAAAACTCATGACCGCTTCATCATAAAACCTCTAATACCATGTCACTAAAAAACTAAACTCAGAAACTTAAGCCATCAAGTGGAGGTATATGAATGATTTTATATATCTAATAGTCTTGGATGCACTTGGGTAACGACTAAAATGCTTATCCAATAATATCAGAACTTGCATCATAAATTTAACCATGAATTTTGTTGAAATGATCTAAAAGGTGCTTATTTTGATAAGCTTCACCAAAAAGTTCAATGAAACAAGCTAAAAAAAGCTAATATGAAATTTTCTTCAACCGCCACAAACTTGTAGAAGTTTTTCCAAACACTCAATCATGAATGCAATGATAGTGTAGAATGAAGTAACATTTAAACATTTCAAATTAAATACCTTCTGATGACGCCCCACTCAATACGAGTCAATCTAGGAACATGACCCAATCCAACATGGTCTAAGTACTCCACAAACTCTCTCTTTGAAAACCATGGGTAATCGATAGCACTATAAAACCACTCAAAAGTGCACCATCGCCTCATTTGATATGATGACAGACAATTGATAAGCTTTCCCTATGATAACAAAAGTAAAATTACTTTCCTAATATAGACAAAGAAATCAATTGATGCCACAGTACAAATGACAGATTATTAACCTTTTGACTAAAAGAACCATCTGGGAGTGAAGCAATGGGTTTATTATGTTGACTGCTAAAAGTATTTCTGGACACCACCAAATCTTGTGTCATTGGTTTTGGTTTCTCCATTTTTCTTCTTGGCCTTCCTCTGTCTAATGGAATGACTTGATTAGTAGATGAAACCTTTATGGGGGAAAAAGATGAATCATTCCTTTCCCTTTTGTCATTAGAACCTGAAGACAGATTTCCGGGGGATTTCGCCGCTTTTAGTTGTCTTGGATGTGGTGTAGAAATAGATGACCGCTTACCTTTAACCAAGGATTTCTTCACCTCATCAGTAGGCTAAAACGAAGAGAGAAAAGGTGCACACTGTAAGTAGGAACATTAAAGTATAGTAATATACAAAACAACATCAGGTGCAAATAAAACTGGAGATACGTTTTTGCAAAGCAAGGCGGCATCAAAGATCTATGGGTAATGAAATACAGGAAAGAAAACTAGAAATATATGAAAAGTCAAAATAGAAAGGGAAAGTAATTAGATAATGCAACATGAAATATGATAGATACAAATGTAATATAACCATTGATGAGCCATCATCTTACAACTCAAAATTTTAGGCAAAGGCTGGTTTTATATCCAACATGTAACCCAACACAGAACTCCTAAAAGCTTTAGTACTTGAACTACAGAGGAAAACAAGGAATAAATTCATTGATAATAACCACGCCAATTACATTCTTAGATCTTCCATGTGTAACAATGAATCTCTCTAAAACAAGGAAACAAAATATGTTGAAATAAATAGAAAGATTAAGACATAAACCACTCTATATAACATTATCCATCAAATTGGTAAATGAATATCAATCAATCTTATCTTGTTTACAAGATCCTAGAATCTACCATGAGGAAACCCCTTAGTGAAAATGTCTACCATCTGAAGTCTTGTAGTGACATGAGCAAACACAACGTCCATGTTTAGATTATTTTCTATGAAGTGTATATCTATTTAGATATGTTTGGTCCTGCCTTGCTACACTAGATTATAGGCAATGGTCATAACCGACTTATTCTCATAGTATTATTGCATAAGAATGATTGCCTTGATTTTATGGTCATACAAAATTACTTCCATCTTTAGTTCTTCACATATACCTTGACCAAGGGTTCGAAACTCAGGTTTTGTGCTAGAATGAGATACTTTATCCTATTTTTTTAATCCCAATTTAAAAAGGAACAAAATAAGGTCTGGGAACCAAATTATATATCATTATAGCTTTAATAATCAATAATTGCATACCTTGGTTTTCTGGGAACCACTTAAATGAGAACCAGTTTGAGTTTCATCATTCTGCAACAAACAAAATACATCATACTTGCATGGAACGAGTCCATATCACAGAAAATATTAAATAAGGAACCACAAAATTGATACTGGACAATAAACAATTCTTACTTTCAAGTTAAAAGATTTTTGTTTCCTTTTTCTGAATCCTGCATTAAGCTGGAGTGTTCCCTCTGCTTCAGGTGCAACAACTCCATTATCAGAAAAAACCTTGGGAAACTTACTTGAAGCACTGCTTTCAATCTTAATAAATACTTTATGTGCTTCCATTTTAGATTCATCGACAACATCACGATTCCCTTCCTTGAACTGTGCAGATGACTCTGACACACAGAAAACAGTACCGAAAATATTTAAACAATCATAAAGTATAGACAAAAAAAGGATTTTCCATACAATGAATAGATATTTTCTTTAGCAGGGGTGGAAGGAACTCGATGAAGACAAATTGAAACAGATATTGCCATTCTATGAAGTTTGTTAAGTACATTGCAGGAAGATACAGAATACAGGGAGAAAATTACAAGGCAAAACAGTGCAAAAGGAAAGGAATATCAACAGAGAGAAGCATCTAAAAAATTATTTTAAATTAGTATACCACTAAAAAAGTAATACCAGGCTACTAAGTCTATTGTTCTTCTGCAGACTAAAAAGCTGAGCTCAGTTCATAAACTACTGAAGAAAGAGTTGCATAATGAGTATTCTTGTTGAGATTTTGTGTAATCTGTATTGTAATTAGTCCGTTTGTCTCCCTGACATTATCCAGATTATGACAATAAAATGAACATATTAAGCAATATTTCACACATTATTCTGATTCTTAAGTTGGCATATGTGTATCTAAATGCAAGGAATTCCACCATGCAGCTGCTGTCAAGGACTGCTGGTCAACCGAAGTCTTATGATGACACATCCTTTGGTTTGTCAGTGATAATTAGATAGTAGGTTAGTTGGTCAAAAAAATAACACATCTTGCTTACACAGATGAGCAATAGGGTAGATCTCCCAGTAACCGCAGAAAAAACTCGATATTGTATTCTAATTGGAGGAAATCTTACTTCTTGTAAAAGCAAGAAGCAAAACATTGTGGTTAGATCTAGTGTGAAGGCTAGATATCAAGCTATGGCCATTACCACACATGAATTATCTGGTTTAAAAAGTCCTTATTGAGCTCAAGCTTTTGCAAATTGAGCCAATGAAACTCATTTTTGACAGCTAAATAGCTCGACTTATAGCATCTAATCTAGTCTTCATGATGGACTACTTGAAGAGCTTAAAAATAACTAAAAAAATAGTGGATTAATGTGTCTTGATATGTATAGCTTTGCTACTCTATTTATAGAGTACCAAGGAGGGCAGAATACAACCCTAACCCTAAAGTTGGGTTTACACACATGAATAAAATAAACTTATTACATTTCAACAGGACTAAACACAAATATAGATTGTTACTATCCATGAGAAGATCACTTCCAGGGAAGTCACTGCTTCATTTATAAACTCTAACAATCAACTGAATGATATATACATCAAGTCTCTTGAAGTACAAACAATTTGCTATATGTACCAAGCTTGAAGCAAACAATTTATATGCTCCTAATTGAGGGGTGTTGAGATACGAATGTTTTAGTTTCTCATATTACCTTTTTGTACAGATCTAATTTGTGTCCATAAATCGGGACAGTATTCCCATCCCATTAATTTGATTAAAATTCAGTATTATCAATATACATTGTTGAGGGATTATCTTCCTCAAGCAATTCAAGTCTCAAGTTTGGCCAACGCATGAATGGCAGAACCCACCAAGTTTCTGTTTCCAATGTTTGAAGGAAAAGGATATCAGATGTAAAGATGAAGTTCTAGGGATCAAATCAAGAGGCCAGAGAAAGAAATCATGGTGGCAGGGAAGAGATAAAATTGGTGGATGGACCAAGAAAAAATCAAGAACAGCAACAAAAGAAAAACAACTCAAATAGGTCAATAAGTTGGGAAAAGAGGCCAAAAAGGCTGAGTTGGAATTACATATAGGGGGCTCAATTTCTTATCTAGTGGACCAAGCCCAAAAGTTTAAGTTGAACACGGAAATAAGTTACGTGAACCAAGAATAAGAAATACAAAAGAAAACAGAGACTTCATTGTATAGTAAGAAAAGAACAGAGTAGGAGAGCAACCTCTCATCTAAGAGTCTCCCCCTTCACAAAGAGCTAATGCTCAATTTACAAATGATAAAAATTAGCATAATCCTTTCTCCTTACATCCTCCTACTTATTTAACACGTTAACCTGATAACAAATTAATCAATATCCTAACTGTCTTATTCCCCCACATTTCTAACATAATTTCTTTTCAGCATTAATGAGCCCAGAAAAATACAATAAAATAGGGAAAGAAAAAAAAGAAATTGGATTTGTCCCCATGTCCTCATGGACCAGACCCTGAACATTAAGGTGGATGACTATAATAACCTTCAGTAACAACATGAAACACTTCGTTTCGCAGCCAATGGGTGCACTCACGTCTGTGATTGACACAGTACCACTGAAAGTTAATGTTGGACGGCAGTGATCTGGCTATTTTGCTAATCGGTTGGAACTCCCCAGGGACATTATTTCAGATTTTCAGTAGCCACATGCTTCCACATGTCTAATGTCACATTCTTAGACATTTACCTCTCCTATAAAACCAGATTCTGTTTCTCAAGTTTTGGTTATTCATTGTCTTAATTCTTCAGTTCTTTCTCCTTGAGTTCTAGAAAGGCCTCTTTGTCACCTACATTGAAGCAACCCCTAGAGACTATTCTACTCATAATTTAACAGTCATGTTCATTCCATGTCAATAGAGGAGCATTCCATAGAAAGTTTAGATGAATCATCTCTTGCCATAATATCTTCTGCTCCAAATCTGCCTGGGTATTTGACAATAGACTAATTGTTCTCCATAAAATCACATATTCTGTATGCAATTCTCATACAACCCATAATCTCCACATCTTTTTCTTCTCCATAAAAGTATATAGTCTATTTGCTTACTAGGGGCACACAAGAGATAATTCCATACTGTATTTTTTTTTTGCAGATGACAGCTTTAATTGAAAAATCAAGGGTAACAGTTAACTTTAAATTTGAGCTTTAGAGACAGGCTTTGTTGGAAACAAACGGTTTTCACTTACGTAGCAAAAGACAAAAGGAATATGTTCTATGAGTAAAACTGAGAGATGTCATTCTATTACGGGGAAATATTTGAGAATGTCATACAGGATACAAACAGGATGGCTACATGGAGAAAGTCATCGAGTGTTTCTGCGATTGCAAAATGACCTACCAAGCTGAAAGTGAAACTTCATTATATTGTTGTATATCTATGGTAGTGAATGTTGGACTTTAAAGGGGCAAGAGAAAAGACCGAAGTAGCATAAACAAGAGTGGTAAGACGAATATGTGGCCACATGAAAAGGAAAGATACAAAATAACTGTATACAAGGATATATTGGTGTAACACAAATTGAGAAAAAACATAACAGATAGCCAATGAAGGTAATTTGAACACATAAAGAAGACCATTGGAAACATGAATGAGAAGACTAGATTGTATGGCTTTTACTCTATGGAAAGGAAGAGGGAAGAAAGACATTGGCAGATGTTGTCAAGAGGGGGCAGTGGTAAATAATAACTTTTGTCTTTTAACCTGGTCAAATGTCATTGTGTAATCCATATAGTGTCAGATTTCATTTTAAAACCAATTAGCATTAAGCCAAGTTGTTTACCAAAGGCTTTGATACCATGTTGAAACAAATTAGCATTAAGCGAAGTTGTCCAACAAATGTATAAGTCACATTCAAAGGTTTAAGACAAGTGATGTGGGACTTCCCAACATATAGAAGATCTCAATTATGGGAATAGGACTTTTATTGCTATTATTGTATCACAATTTTTCCTCTTCATATTATACTTTTGTCACTACTTAGTAGGAGGCCCTTTCCAAGTTAGCAACAGGTTATATGATTGATGAGATGATAGCTCTAGAACCCAACCACACTCAATGCCTTATTACCTCGTGAAAAATCTGCACTTGAATGTTATGTTGTCATAATGGTTTCTCATACAACTAGGAACGTGCAACAAATTTTGGCCCAGTCTTGATTGCCTAAATCCTTTGATGGGCCAAGGAACAATCTAGTGCCCAAATACCATCCAGCATGCACTCTATGATGCCCTATATGGCTTCTTACACCTCTTAAGCTAAGGCTTCCAATAGTTAAGGAAGCCACTTCACATTAGAATTACCTCATGGCTATGCTCAGATGTCCGGGAGGTGACTCATCTGCATCTAGCCCTATAAAAGGGACACCTCCACCAGATAGACTCTCTTACCAAATATTTTTCTTCTTCTGAAACACATACTAATATGGTGATGAAGTGTCTTTGCATGTACCTCCCACCATTACCTATTCTCCACCTTCTTCATTTCCCTAAAGTGAATACAATAAAAGCTCAGCGTGTTCACTAATTAAGCATTCAGTTCAACGCTTATGCATAGAATAGTGCATCCCAGAAGGAAGCAACCATGATGAAATCAAAAAGGATAGGCCACAAAGAGACCAATAACATAAAAGTATGCACTAGGAAAAAGACATAATTAAAAGCACATTCATTACAGATAGGATTATGGATCCAATTAATACCAAAATTGAGCCACAGATGTGGTTTTCTTTCAGTTTTTGGCTTGTAGTTTTGGGGCAAGGGAATTTTACTTGGCTACAATCATTTATCTTGTATCTCTGTATGTCCTTCTAATTTTAACTAGTAATGACTCTCCTTTGTTAGTAGCAATTGTTTTTCAAGCATTCATATTATTATGCACATCTAGAATTTAGTCACATACTTTCAGTTAGAATGTCTCTTAAATAGAAGATTCAAATTGTAAATGTAAAGACTGCTTTAACCTTACAATGCACAAAATCTTCCACCCTCATAACAGAAAATTACATGACGGATTATAGTTCCATTGTAAAATCATTGAGTAAATGAATGGTTATGCCAACTAATGAGGTTAAGGAAAGGGTGGGGATAGGTGCATATAACCACACACGGCGGTACTAGCAAACTTATTATTTATTCAGATTGGTCTACAGGAGATGGGAGAAGAAAACATTTAAATAATAACATTAATATTTAAACTTAAGCGCCTTACCAGTGTCAGGGTTTGTTACTGGCAGCATCAAAGACAAATCAGCCAAAGTTTTTAAAACATCAAAAGCAGAACCTTCATCTACAAAGAAAGAAGCAACGGGAAAGGGAGTGGTGAATGATAACATTAACAAAAACTTATAAGTTGGAAGAATAACAGGAAAATATTTGAACCCAAGGAAAGCGGTCGTCAGGGGAAAGAAGTAAAGCGCAAACCAATATGAATTCCAAAGTTCAAGCAAACTCTATAACTACTATCATAAAAAATAGTTTCGAGTTCTAACAATATAACGTTTTAATGTTTAAGAGAATAAAAAGCTAGAGGTTTCATCATGTAAACATCTAATCCAATTAATCTATCTCAGATCCTACTCAATATTGAAAAGCAAAACAAAATAGATTCTCAAGTTTCTTTTCCTGCTCAAACATCACCAAGTAGGCAAGTACAGCAACTCTTGCACCAAAATTTTGAAACTTTTAGCCCGACAAAAAGGCCTTAGTAATGCATATCACTTAATGTTTCAACCTTCCAATAAAATTTTAGGCCTGTAAAGACTTCTTGTGCATGTTAATATTTCATGGACAAAAGAACTCAGCTTCCAACTAAAGTGATAAAAGGATTTGAAAGATGAAAACATAAAGTTAAAAATTAAAAGAAAATATAACAAAAAAGCCAAAGAGCCATATGATAATTTGAACATTGCTTTATATGGGACATGTGTGCTTTTCATTTATTAAGAAAGAACAGCATCATATTCTGGAGAATGAATACCTTCTTTCAGTCCGAAATACAGTATGCCCTGCCTAATGACAAAAACACCTAATACCAATCAAGTTGCTCCGTTTTCAATCCTTTTATACCACACTTGTTTAGTATAAAATTAAGCTAAGCCATAGATTCATTTAGAAACACCTAGTCCGATAAATATATCATTTATAACAAAGACATCCAACTTAAAGAGGAATGGGAATTAAAACAACTACCAAATACCTTTCTCTAAGACTAGCTTTTTACTTTTCGTCCTGGAACCCTTGTAAGAGGACCTCGCATTTTTGGTATCTACAAAATCAGTGAAGTTGGATTTGATAAAATTTTTACCATCATCTGTCCCACTGGAGGCTTCCTTTATGTCATTCAAATGCTTGTTTAAACTCCCCTCAGGCTCTAAATTCTTTCCATATTGTTTTATTTTCTTTTCTTCATTCCTTCCTCTTCCAGTAATTTCTCTACCACTCCGATGAATTGTTTTTCTAGAGTATTCTTCATTATTACCTTCAGTGCTTCCCAAACTCAACTCAGAACTACCATCATCCAACTCGGAACTGCAAAACTTGGCTCCAGCTTTTTCTGATTTTGAATGCTGAAAACAGTAACTGCCTATAATTACTGTTCATTACAACAAAATAACAGAAAAAGACAACTGACGGTTTTATAGAAATAACTTATTACCTTCTTCCCACTTTTCAGACCTGGGGAAGACAAAAATTTCTTATCTGGTGATCCAGAATTTTTCGAAGAGCCACCTCTTTGGGAAGCCTCAGTCAATGCCAATGCAATCTTATGAGTAACGTCATTAGTATCAACCATTTGTTTGGAACCCTGCCTTGCAGATGCAAAAAACCTCTCCCCAATATCTTTACCCATAGAATATGAAATAGGGACACGGGGAGTCCTTTTTCTAACAGCATGTGGCCTAATTCCTGAAAAAAAAAAATCACAAACAATTAATAGGTTTTGTTAAGCAAGACAAAAATATCCCTTCTAAAGGTCATTATATACAAAACAAAATATAACATCTTCAGAGGCAAGCAGCCAAACATCGAGAACAAGAGGAAAATTCATCCAAACTTTGGTCAATCTTATTGTAACAAATAATGGTTGAAAACCCAAAAAGAAAATGAAGAGGTACAAAAGAAATGTGATGCCAAGGTAATGTTCAAATGTACTTTGGCATATTAACCCACCAGAATGTCTCTTCTTCAACAATGACAGGCAACCATCACCTGATGCAACGGAGTGTGACTGAGAATGATCTGAAAAATGCCCATCTAATGCTTTATTGTCACTTAGATGCTTTCCCCGCATACGCTTTTGAGACTTTTTAGATATTTCTGCATCATCGTTGCTTTCTTTACCACTGTCACTTCCTCCCTGACAATTAAATTATTCATATTTTAATTGCTTAAGAACAGTTGTCAAAAACTGGTCGTGTTGTCTATTGCAATTTATTCAAAATTTATAACATAATCTAACCAATGCCGCCACATATCAATTGAAGGAAATTTGTCTTTCTCTTATTGACTTATTTGTATGAGGGGGGAGTTGGATTCCAAATCGATAAAATAACTATTACATCCAAAACCCAGTTTTAAATAGACGAAAGTTAACTAACACTTTTGGTAGAATAACAGTCAGTTCATATATCATATCTTAAACGAATTCATGTGTTTCATTCCAATGCATTTTAGTTTTCATAGGATTTTAAAATTTAGGAAGTAGCACCCATGTACTCTTTGCCTAGGAAATCTCCCCACTTTGTCTATTAAGAATCCATATGTATATAGCTAGATATCTGTTCTGCACAAGTACTGTGCAATCAATCAATGTCACTTAAGCGCCTATTAGTCTCTCTCTCTCTCTCTCTCTCTCTCTCAATACCTCTATAACAATTGACAATAAAAAGAATCTTTTTAAAATCAAAAGGCATTATCAAATAAAAAAAACTTAGTCGATTGGTCAGAACACTATGCAAGGCAGCCTAAATTATCCATTTATCCTTTCTGTATACTTATTGACAAGTACGTGCATGTACTTATATTGACAGAAAAGAGAGACCTTAGATTTCAATTATAACCAAGTCAAGTGACACTGAAGATTACTAAAATTCCAATCATAATGTACCTATCATCGGAGAAGTGAATGAAAAACTCTCATTGAAAAATAAACAGAGCTTAAAACAATTTGAACAAAGACTACACTTGAAATAATACAGTTTCTTCTTGTCACACAAGTTATGAAAAAGATTTGTAATGAGATGGAAATTTTAAATTACAGCTACCACAAGAACGTTACAAAATCACGAAAACCAATGTAAAATATCAGTAAAATTTAGTCAAAATTTTAAATTAATTCTTACCAGTACACTATAATGATCTGTCATCATTGCTATAAGGCCAACAACTGAAGCAGTACCCTCTGGGAGAGATAAATATGCCTAAAATAAACCCAAACCAAAGCTTAGCATGTCTTACAAGCAATATATCACACTGACTAAAATGTGCAATATTGATATTGAGATTTATCTCTTAACCCATGACATGACACGAGAGAAAAGGAGGGGGGGGCAGTTGTTACTGCACGGAAACCCAGAAATAACAAGCTGGGGATATGCATATTCAGTGCAATAATTAACCACAAACTGGCCCGTAGGAGACAAATCAGGAAGAAATTAGTCTTTTACAGATTGCTTGAATATTTAAAACAGACATTCGTTAGGAGATTTGACAATTTTTAAGGAAGACATCTAGCTTCTTTCTTTTATGTCTCTTTTCTTTATCTTCATTTAGATTTTTAAGGAAAAAAAAAAGTAAACATTCACTTACTCAAACCAGAAATTATGGAGGCAAGAAAATCTTGTTTTCCAGATACATAGAAGAAGAAAAACTTTATCAAGGGTATTGAAAAATACAGGAAATATTAAAAGAAATTAAAAAGTACACCCTAAGTGCATATCTCTCTATACATGAAATGTTTAGTGTGTGTTTTAGAATCTAAAATCTTTATGTAAATAGGGAATACATGGTGCATGCATTTTAGAAATATCAGTAAATTAATAAGGATGTTGATGCTTGTACTGCATTTACCCTGTTCATAGTATACAGTGCCTCTACCATTTCCACAGATCTATTACGTACAGCAAGAGCAACCTGTAAACAGGTAAAATGTCACTGAAAAGGACATGTTTAGTGATAACATTGCACTGGAAAATTACAGTGCATAGAACAAGGTAGATTAACAAACTAAGACACAACCTTGATCCTTCAAATTCCAGTGGAATTTTAAACAGTATTTACTACATGTGTATAGCCCATTTATTAGAAAAATACCTGACTGTGAGACTTGATATTCAACCTTTATTCAATAAGAAGCAACTTATGAAACAATAACTAACCTTCTTCCAATCTTTACCAAATTTCCGGTAAGCTTCATAAAAATGCCCAAGCTCCTCTTTATTCCATTGTGGTCCTAACATGTCAGCCAATCTTCTCTTCTGCGGAAGATTGAAATTTGTTAAATAATTTCATCTTAAAGAAATAAAATTCATAACACCCGACCATTTTAACCAAACTCTTAAAACACTTACTACCCAACTTTACGTTGATAAAATGTAAAAAAGATATTTTAATATATTATAATGACTTCTTGATAAGAGCACTGAGAGGAAAAACGATAAAGAGCAAAGGGGAAATTTCTTCCTCTGTTTTAACTCAGTAAATGTATTACGTATGAAAAAGGATTTCTTTTCAAAGAAGTAAAGAAACAAATTACCTTCTGAATACCAGGACTTGCCTTCAGCCTACTTTTGCTAGCATTCTCTGTAATTTTGTCCTTAATAGATGCAGTCTCACGAACACTTGAAAACCTCTTATTTACACTTCTAGATTTCCTAGATGGAGCCATAACTGATTTCTTTGATTGTCTGAAAATTACCAGGAAAACAGAGGAGTAAAAAAACAAATACAGCCTAACTAAGTAAATACACTGGAACAATTTAGGCACAGATAAATTAATTGCATCGTATCATGAGAGTAAGAGGAGAGAGAGAGAGAGAGAGAGAGAGAGAGGGGGGGGAGGGGGAAGAGAAGGGAGTTCACAGAAAAGAAGATTCCATACTTCAGAATCCAAAGCTGTTCAGACTGAAATGTCACCTCCTTTCCTTGTACAGATAATGTTGATGAAGAATAACGGGTTCAAAATCCAGAAGATGCACCCTGATAATCCTAAGAAAATACCCTGAGGACTTATAATGAAGAAAATAGAATGTTTCACAATGAGCTAGTAGTGGGTAGGTATTCGCAAAAGAAAACATATAATCTGAAGTGAAGATATACTGCACAGGTTTTACAGCTACAATATAAGGCCCCGTATGTTAAAACAACACGATCCAAACTTAATGCCAACCTAAGTATCACTTCAACTACAAAACATTTGTCTGTACCATATATAGGTTAGGTGGTGGCAGAGTGTATTATGGCAAAACAACAAATTGAATACGCTGAACAGAAATTAGAGTCTTAATACTCAAGTAGACAAAAAGAAAACAGTTCAGACAATAAAACTTGGCACCGAACAAATCAACGATAGATTGTTAGCAAAACAAGTTACCTTGGTCAGCACATAGAGAGCAAAATGAAAATGGAAATTCTCTAAGACTGGAAATAGTACAAAGATTGAATGATGAAAGTATTGGAAAGGACATATTAATGAGGAAAAAAATGATAAAATAACAAGATAATCCTATCCCTTTACTAAAAACCAGACAAGCTAGTCAACAGCTATAAGGAGGTGCCACTGCTCTTGCCCTCTGTGGAGGGTGCATGCACCATGATGACCAACAAAGGACAACAAACCTTAGCCCCTATTGCACCAGACCTTTTCGCTGACAGATTTTCTAAGTCCAAATCCTCACCTCCAAAAAGAAAAAAAGATCCAAAACTCGGAGTCATTAACAGCATCACTGCAACCATTTTCCAAAATAGTCAGCAGAATGCTGAAACATCTAGAAAGGAATGCATCCCACACAAACTCTCCAATCTCAGCCATCCCTCGTTTTCAAAACACTTGAATGAATTGGTTCGCAGGTTCAAATCCGGAAACACACAGCATGCAGACACAAAGCAATAACAACATAAAACACACATCGAAGCTTGAATTTACTTCAGCGACAAGAACATCGAAAAGGAAGTCTCAGCTAAAACAAGAAACAGAAAAAAGCAAAATCACTGCTCCACACTGCAGTTCATCAGCTGAGAAAGGAAAGAAACAGAAAAAGGAAAAAGAAGCAGAGGCAGGTCCGAGGAAGAAGAAGAAATTAAAACTCACAGCTAGAAACGAGGTGATTCAGTTAATTCATCCCTAAGAGCCACCGAACCCCGCATTTGAGTTCAGAAAGCCGAAACCAAACGCGGAATTGGAATATTTCCCGAAATTCCCCCTCTGATCTAGCGAGCCGCGATTGGAATTGGGAATCTGAGGAGCAAGAAAAGCCCTCGCAAAGAGAGAGTGAGTAAAAGCATGTTCGAAATTAAAAGAAAGTGAATAGGATTAGAGAGAAAAGGAAGAAGGAGAAGCTCACCGATCAAAGAGAACCTGAATTGCAAATGGAAGCTGCGAGAGAGGGATCTAGTAGCACTGAAACAGTCGATGCACAAATGCTAAGAGAAGAGGATGATGAACAAACAACTCTCCAGTTCTGATGGCGTCGTTGTTGGCGTAAACAAAACATGAATTCGGGGGTATAACCGCGAAACTTTAAAATAATAGTACCATTATTTTATTTTATTTTTTCTCCTCTTCTTATTTTGTTTCGTTTCTCACCTCTTTCAAATAACGTCCTCCAATTTATTCCCCAAATAAAATTTAAAATGAGAAACGCCCATGAACCCAAACAAGAACATCAACTTTAACTATTATTCAAATAGTCAACCCAAAAAACCATTAATTGAAAATTAAACTGTTTTTCTTTTCAAAATATATATTATATGTCTCACCGTTGCTTTCTATTTAAAAATCACAGTTTTCAATACTTCCAAGAGATATTAATAGTGTGTTTTCAAAGTTTATAGCATGTAGTTTATTTAATTTTATTGTATTTTTTATTATTATTACCCGTTTTTAATTTTATTGAAAACTTTGAATATTTTTTTTAATTATTGTATTAATTTTAATATCTTTTTAGTTACTTTTAACTTTTGAATGTGGTTAAAATTAAAAAAGTAAACATGAGAAATTGAAGCAGTAGTGATGTTATGTAAAAATCACACAAAAAAATTCAATTTTATTAATTTTGTTTTAACTCTATCAGTAATTAACATAATTAATCATGTGTTTGGTTTGTAGTAATTGTCATATGCGTCTTAAAATAAAAATATGTTAATAAGTAATTAACCTTGAAGGAACATCTGTATTGTGCTGTCTGAATTCAAAATCCCTAGTCTTCCGTTGAGCTTAATTCCATACTAAACTTAATTTATCCTTTAATTTTTTCAACGAATAACTAACTTACTAGAAATCTTCATTTCATTATCATAACATGAAATTTTAGTTTATTTTTTGTTGGTCTCAATGTATTACATTTTAAGATCTCGTATATATTTTTTCTTCAATATAATTAATTATATACTATTTACACTTTAATCTAAGAATGTGATGCAAGAGAATCTTAAATTTATTGTCATGCAAGTTCGAATTGAGGAACTTATACGTGTTAAATTTATGACCCGGGTATCATCCATAAACTATAAAAATGCCCTCAATTATAAATTAGTTTATCATATATGTTTCTTGAAGAGTTGGTGTTTTACCTCAGTTTACACGCAGAAAAAACCTGTATGAGTCAGCTCATTTCATACTAAGACAAAAAACACCCAAAAGACAAGCTAATATCTTTAACACTCATTCCAGGAAGGGTGAATAGATTATAGTAGACTGAAATAAGAAGCAGTACTCAAATAATTCACACAAAGCAGTCTGCTTGATAGATAAGAATTTGACCAAGAGTAACAATTTATATGCACAAACAAACATTTACATGAAATCTGTTTACTGGTTTTAAGAAGCTGTATTGTTCGTCTCGAAAAGATGGATACAAACAAGCCAACCAATTCCACAAATCTTCCTCAGTTGAGGCTTAAATTGGCAGTCATGTCAATCCCCTTCAAACAACTGTTCAGTTGTGAAGCATTTTTCTAACAAATGCTACAAGTAAACATCCTTCTACTCCTCTCTATTATTCCCTTCGTTCATACTTTTCTCATATATCTTCAACAACTTAGAAGAATGCTTTTCAAAACCATAGACAAACTTCTTCAGAAACGCATTCTCCGTCGGGAGTAGAGGCGTGCCATAGCTTGCACCCTTTTTCCTCAATCCTTCCTTTTCAAGAAATCTCAGAACCAAAGACCTGGGAACAATCCTCTTAGGGAGACTCAGCTGAATAATAACAGGATACTTGACAAGCTCCAAAGAGCTATACCCTGACACCTCAACCCAGAAGCTAAATACGGCATCAATCTTCTCACGGGAGCTCAACATGAAATGAGGATGCTTCTTAAACGCCACAAGCACATGCTCCTCCGACCACCCCCACTTCTTACAAACCTCAACCTTGTCAACCCACTTGGCTTTATTCACAGTCATTTTGGCCATCATGGCCAAGGCGAAGGTGGTTTTGGAAGTGTCAAACCCCATTTCTTTCAATTCACAAATAGTGTGGGACAGGTTATGGGAGCAGAGGATAGAGGGCCACATGGAGAGCATCATAACGATGCTGGAGCGTTTGACGCCATTGTCGAGGAGAAGTTGGACGTTGGGAGATACGCGACTGTCGGCAATGAAGGAGGTGTTTCGCCTGAGACAGGTGATGACTTGCTTGTCAGAGTCGACGAAACTTCTGACCAAGTGATAGGCGGGAACAATGTGGCTGTTGAGGTTGGCTAAGAGGAATCGGGGTCCGGCGGTGATCATGTGGATTATGTCGGCAGAGGAGGCGCCTTTGGAGCGGAGGAACCGGAACTTGGGGAGGAGGACTTTGTCGGGGTTGCACTGGAGGATGCGACTTTCCCGTTTGACGACGGCGTGGATTTGAGAGACGGAGAAGCCATGCTCGGAGAGAAAAGCTAGGACGGAGTCGGGCTTCTGAGAACTCTTGAAACGGAGGTAGCGGGAGGCGGAGACGGCGGATTCCGGGGAGAAGCCGCAGGTGGAGACGAGGTAGGAGACAACGAAGGAGTGAGATTGGGGAACGGTGGCGAAATTGAAATTGAAGCAGACGGAGAAGGGTGGATTGAGATTGAGATTGAGAAGAGAATGACGATGGTGAAGGATTCTTAGGGTTGCGAACTTCATTTGGAGAATGAGAAGGGCGGAACGTGAGGGGTTTAGAAGTATTCTAACTAAGCCCATTAAGTTTCAACCATTTCTTTCGCTATAACTGTAAGAAGAAGAAAATTACATAAAATAATATTTTCTATAAATTAAATACAAAAAGTTAAATAAATTATCTTTTATAAGTTGACGTATATATATAGATTCGTATTATTATATACAATGATAAAATAGGTATTATATATCATTGTTGAGTTGTTTTTTCTTATTAGAATAGCTGAATTCTACTTGAACTCAACCTCTTTGATCATAAATTAAGTTTAGGTGATATTTTAAGGGTGTTGCTGTGTAAAACCAAATTTTCTTAAATATATATATATATATATATATATATATATATATATATATATATATATATATGATTAAAACTTGTTATTGATTTAATTAATTTCGTTTTTGTTGCACAAAATTGATTTTATAAATATTTTGTGTTATTAAATTGATTTTAATCAAATATTTTATGTCTATATGGTATCATTACTACAAAAATTTCAACAATTTTGGAATTTATAAAATTATTTTTTAATAATTTTATCTTTTTGGCAATACCTAATAATTTATTTTTCTAAACTTTTCTTCTTCTTAATTTTAAGTTAAGAACTTGTATGTTTCGAATTTTTTCAAGTCGAGTATATTCTATTTTTAGATAATCTTAAATCTCGAGTATATTTTATTTTTAGATAATCTTAAATTGTTTTTGTTGATTTGAGAGTCATAAACTTAATAAAGATGATTGCATGTCAATATAAAGACATGACTTTGTTTTTGCTTTTCAAATTTGTTTCTCTTTATGGTTTTATATCTAGGTCACGGTGGACTTGTATGAGAACCGAAGGATTTCATAATTTTCTTTTGTGGCTTCCCAAAGATCTAAAGGTTCTAGGTAAGTATCCATTTTAACAGCTCAAAGATCATAATTTTTCCTGTTTCGGGTGTAGGGTCAAGTAATTTTAAACACCTTCACAATTTCTAAATATATAATGATAAAATAGATCTTATATATCATTGTTGACTTTTTTTTCTTATTAGAATAGTTGAATTTTACTTGAACTCAACTCTTTTATTATAAATTCAGTTTAAGTGATATTTTAAGGGTACTGAGTAAAACCAAACTTTTCTTAAAAAAATATACAGTTAAAATTTGCTATTGATTTAATTAGTTTTTGTTTGAAATAAAGTTAATCAAGTTTTTAACTAATTTTGTTGCACAAAATTGAGTATGATAGATGACGCAAAATAATATATTGTGGTAAAAAAAATTTAAGACAAAATTACTTTAAGGTGACATATTATGTTAGAGATGTTTAATACGAACAATGATCTTATGAATTTTCAAAACATCACATGATCTAATCACATATATACAATCCAAATCCAATCATTCACCCAACACATGTATGGATGATTGACATATTAGACAAGTAATTGGTACAACTCTCGTCGAAGTTGAGATCCACACACATTATACATACTTGTTGTATACATATGAGACAAGTTAATGATCCAACAAACCAATGGTTAAATGAATCACTGATCCATATTTCATATGAGATTGTGTTTAATGTATCAAACGTGTTTTATTGTATAGGCATGTCAGTAGTTTCATAAAGTAGACAACTACTCTAATGAATTTGTCATGAATCATCTTAGTGTTTTAATCTTTCAAAGACTATATTTCTTAAGCTTATGGTCATAGTTTATCACAATCATAAAAAAATATCTAATGATAATATCGTTCATAAGTCCATTAGACCATCAACTACATTAGCTATAAACGACCAATAAGGTTGCTCAAAACAAGTTAAAACATTTAAAAAGTATATATTAAATAAATATTTAATCAAACTAAACTTATGGATACAATGAGATTACCAATATAGTCAATTAGATTATCTAATTATATTTGTTTGTCTAGATTATTTAATGAGATTATCTAATTATAGTATTTATCAAGAATTTAAAAATTGATTTTAATTAATTAATTTAATTAACATTATTTAGTCTCACTTAAACATATTATAGTTAAAACAACGTATGTAAACATAATTATAATATAAAAAGTTAAAATTAAACATTTTAATATGATTGAAAATGTAATAGCATAATACAACTTGGTACATCCTATAATTTATAGGTTTTATTTGAATTAAATTTATAATTAATAGAATATTTATCAACACATATTTGTGTTAAAAAACATCATCAACTAATTTAAAAGAATATCCCATTTTTAGTTACACTTTTAATTACATAAAATTAATTTATTTTTAAATTAGTAACTACCATGAAATTAGCTGTCTATTCCATGTTTTATTTAACTACATTTTTTTACTCTCTTTCTAGTAATAACCAGGGTGC